CTTCATTGGTATTCCATTAACCTTTTTCCATGTAGGTCATTCGGTCCCCGCCTCTTAATTAAGGGCCAATTAACAATTAACATATTAAATAGGTAATCCTCCCTTAATTAAGCCGACGATTGTCTCCCCCCCCCTTCACCCACGCGCCCCAAGTGTTCATTTTTTTTTTTTTTTTTTTTTAATACTTAGAATATAGTAATTGACTTTTATGATTAAATTGACGGTCTGAAAAACAGCAAATAACATAAGAGTAACGATGATAATGATAAGTATGATACAATTAGTAATGATAAGAGTAAAGGTAATAATAACAATAATAAGCATAAGTTTGTAAACGATAACAATTATGATACTGATTATAATAGTAATGATGCTAGTAATAATAATAATGATGACAGTGATAATAACAACAACAATAATGATAACAAATATAATAATGATGGTAATACTAGAACAATTATAAGTAGGATGGTAACACTAACAAAATGAATAATAATAATAATATTAATAATAATGATGATGATGATGATGATAATAACCACAGCCAGACCACGTGACTAACGGCGCCCTTCCTTCCCCGCAGATGAGTCGACGGGCTCCCTGGACGAGGGCGTCGGCCAGAAGAGCGCCTCCCCGTCGCCGCTGGTGGGCTCCGCCGGCAGGATCTCCGGCCGGGAGTCCGTTGCGTCGCTGGCCTCCTCCACCGACAACTCCACGGCCACCCACCCCGACGAGGACATCGAGAGGCTCCTGCAGATCAATGAGAGGAAGAGGAACTCCCTCACCCCCCTTGGAGTAAGTCCCGGGTGCTTGTGTGTGTGGTTCCCTTGGGCATATTGGGGTAGGGAGGTAACGGGGTATTGTGCTATTGGGGTGTGGGCGTAAGAAGGTATTAGGGTAGAACGGTATTGGGGTATTAGGTATATTAGACTATTAGGGTATGTGGGTATTAGGGTATTATGTGGGTGTTATGGGTGTGTTTAGGTAACAGGGTATTGAATATTAGGAGTATTAGGGCATAGCTGTCGGGGATAGGGGATGATTTATGTCATAAGAAAGGATTATTATGAAGAGAATAGAGAAGAGAATATACGGAGAGACAGATAAACAGACGAACTGAAATAGGTATATAAGTCCACGTATTAATAGATTAAGCGGGACTATTTACTGAAGAAAATTTCGAATGGGTTAATAAAGTGATCAGTAGAGTCGACTTCATGAGGGAAAGCAATCGTGGATTTATCTTTGTAACGAGTAAGTGGGGATTTATGCTTAGGATTTATGTTTTTTTTTTATAGAGGATTAACTTCAGGATAAGATTAGACAAACCATTTCTTTAGGAATTTATTGATGTTAGGTTCATTATTCCTGTCCATCTGGTTAGATGATTATTAATGATTAAGGATTGATTGGTTAAAAGGGATGTTCGTTATCTTGTTAAATAGCGTTTGATAGATTATTCCCGGGAAGTTGAATCACGTCATCACTGAACCGAAAAATATGTGTTGCTCGGGGGAAAAAAATGAAAATTGCATTGTGTATGACAGATTTTGAAATTAAGTTACATATTTACCTATTTTTAGTGGTTTTATGATTAAGTTGATATTTTGTTAATATTTTTTATTATTAACTGTGTACTATCTTAAGTGTTTGTAGTTAAACGCGGATTTTTTGTTTCTTTTATAATCAATATTATCAGATAACATATGAAATACATCACACACGAAGATAAATGGATAAATAAAAGAAAAAAAAGAAGAAAGGGAATCCATAGATCAACACAAATACATGATAAACGGTCGAATACATAAATAAATACTGAATAAACGTGGAGATACATGAATGAATAATGAATAAACATGAAGATACATTATACACGCAAAGAGAGGAAGCGTTAAATAAGTAAATAAATGAGTAGGGGAAGAGAGGAACCGATGCCTACCCCTTTCCCCCCTCCCCCCCGCTCCTGCCTCTCGTCGGGTCCCTCGGGGCATTCACCCGGCAGTAGGAGGAGGCCGGGGGGGGGGGAGTTCATAACGCCACGGAGGCAGGGGAGGGAGAGAAAGAGGGAGGGAGGGGGAGGGGAGGGAGAGAGAGATGGAAGGGAGGGAGAGAGAGAGAGGGAACGGGTGAAGAGGAGGGAGAAGGATGAAGGAAGGAAGGGAAGGAGGCTAGGAGTGGGTAATAATAGGAAGGATGGGGATAGATGATACGTAAACAGGAGAAGAGAAAAGCGGGAAGAGGGGATTTAGCTAGAGGAAAGAGAGGGAGAGGAGCAGGAGGGAAGAGAGGGAGAGGAGCAAGAGGGAAGAGAGGGAGAGGAGCAAGAGGGAAGAGGGAGAAGAGAGACGGCAAGGAGGAGGGAGGGGTAGGGATGGGGGCAAGAGGGAGAGAGGAGGGGGGGGGGGCAAAAGAGGGCAATGCGCGGGCCACGTCCTTGGCAGCGGCAAGGATTCGCGCACTTGTGGTTGTTTCGGACGTGGAGGAATGTCCGTACGTA